TAATATCGTTGCCAGTCACTACATCACTTGTTTGCTCAGCCTGGGCCATATTGCGAAATGCTAAACTTTTTAAAAGAGACAGGTTTTTATTATAAATTTTAATTTGTATATAATATATATATATGTAATATTTTCTATTTTTTATATGCATAAAAGATTGTTTTTATTTTTAAATTTGATAAAACTGTGATATTGTTTTTATTTATGCATATAAAATTTTGTGATATGATTTAGCTTGTCTCAAAAGAATCATTATTATGTTTGGCGCAATATAGCCCGGTTGGAGCTGACGTGCCATAAAACCACATTTCATTCATTCCTACGTGTATGGCGCTATTGCGTGTCTTATGTGTAGCTCAGTGGTTCTGTTGGGATGATAAGTTCTTCACCTGTGAACATACTCTCAAAGTGTCCATGAGTATATATAAGTACTATAATACCGGAGAAAGACCCTTATGGTTATTTTACCAGCAAGCGGATGTTACCCAACTACAGACAGTCAAACGGTCAGATAACCTCTGATTATGATCATTAATATTTTCAACAAGAACTTATCCTTTCATGAACAAGCTCAATTTATTAAGGATACATTATGGCCTTAGTAAACTGTAATATATAAAACAAGCCAACAGTGAGGCTGATGTCCCCCGCCAAAATACCAAAATAAATAGATGACACATTAATTTATCGCACATTTATTTTTTTTAAAGTATCAAGCAATCAAACTGATTATCAACTATACACTTAAGTTTCATCACTCTCTATCAAAGTTATCTTGTCCTAAAGCATCAACCAACAAGGCATTGACCTAATCAACACATACACCAAGTTTGAACATTCTAGCTCAATTAGGAAGAGAGTTATCGTGCCCCAAAGTATCAACCAATCAAATTGCTTATCTCTGCTTACCCTAAGCGGAAAATGCTCATCTAATCAAATTGCTTATCTCTGCTTACCCTAAGCGGAAAATGCTCATCTTCGAACTCCATCAAGGCATTGACCTAATCAACACATACACCAAGTTTGAACATTCTAGCTCAATTAGGAAGAGAGTTATCGTGCCCCAAAGTATCAACCAATCAAATTGCTTATCTCTGCTTACCCTAAGCGGAAAATGCTCATCTTCGAACTCCATCAAGGCATTGACCTAATAAACACATACACCAAGTTTGAACATTCTAGCTCAATTAAAAGTTATCGTGTCCCAAAGCATCAACCAATCAAATTGCTTATCTCTGCTTACCCTAAGCGGAAAATGCTCATCTTCGAACACAATCAAGGCATTGACCTAATCAACACATACACCAAGTTTGAACATTCTAGCCCAATTAGGAAGAGAGTTATCGTGTCCCAAAGCATCAACCAATCAAATTGCTTATCTCTGCTTACCCTAAGCGGAAAATGCTCATCTTCGAACTCCATCAAGGCATTGACCTAATAAACACATACACCAAGTTTGAACATTCTAGCTCAATTAGGAAGAGAGTTATTGTGTCCCAAAAAGTGTGACGGACAGACAGACAGTCGGACAGACAGACAGACAGACGAACCCATTTTAATAGTCTCCTGCTTTCTTCGAAAGGCGGGGGACAATAAAATATCCGGAAATATGACATATAAAGAGTTACAAACCGTTGGTGGCTTTTGTATGTGTCAATACTAACAATATATTATCTAAGGATATTCGCTACTCTACCGTATTAATCGCCATGCTACTCGGATTTAAACATTGTATTCGTTGGTAGCTTCGAATTGGCAGACATTTTTAAATATATCGGGATCGAAATTTCATTTTAATCGGAAGAGGATATTTACTAGCATGTTATAAATACAACCCCCATCTTTACTTATAGTCGTTCGGATGGGACGGAAAACACATCAGCTTGCACGTAAAAGATCCCTTGGAATTCAATATAAAAGTAGGCCGTAGCGCCGCTGTCCGATCAAGATTTCTGTCATAGCACACTATATGGCATACGCCCGTCTTCATTAGCCCAGTCGGAGCAGAACAGTACTTATGGAGTGTGTGTGTGTGTGTCAAAACATACTTACAATATCTAAGGCTATTCGCTCCCTATCGTATTAATCACCATGCTACTCGGATTTAAACATTTTATTCGTTGGTAGATTCGAATTGGCAGACATTTAATTCTAATCGACAGAGCATACTCTCGTGTATGTTAGAAACACAACACGACGGAAAACACATTGACTTGCACGTAAAAGATCCCCTGGCAGTTGGAATTCAATACAAGAGTAGGCTGTGGCGCCGCTCTCCGGGCACGCTTTCGCTCATATCAAAATGTATGGCGTATGCCCATCTTCATTATCACAGTCGGAGCAGAACAGTAGGACGTTAAACCCCATTTCATATAGCTGACGTTCATACCAGTCTTTTTTCACACGGAACCAGTAATATTTTGTCTTGTGCGTCACCACTTAGATCTTTAATTTAAATCAGATTATGTTTATAATAACTTAAACTCGCCTACCGGTAAGTAAGGAAATTATTATCATTGACATGCTTATATAGAGCACTTGGAAAGTCGTATAAAACTTTTACAATTCATAAATAATATTTCCTGTGAGGCGACATTCAGTAAAGGATAAAATAGTAGGTTAATAGTGAATCACAAAGGCAGATCATATCATAGAATAGTGGCTAATAATGAGTCACATATCGGAAAATCAAGAGAGAGAGAGAGAGAGAAATGGGGTTTAACGTCCATTCGACACAAACTAGGTCATTTCGGGACTAACATATGGTTTAATTTTTTATTTCAATAATTCGCTTGCCCATAGGGGTCTTTAGCAGTGGGAGGAAACCGGAGGACCCGGAAAAACCCACGAGGTTGGACAGGCGACCCTACTCCTTGTCACGTACAACCGGGGATTCGAAACCCGGAAAATCAAAGTAAAGCAAATAAAGTTACACATAGAATGTGTTAAAGATGCATTATGTAAGATTTAGATAAAGATCTATAATAGTTCAATAGATAACGAAAAATATATAATATATTGAACATATTATTCAAATTACTTTAGTCTGAGCTACAATAGTTCAATAGATAATGAAATATGAATATGTTATTCAAATTACTTTATTCTGAGCGAAGTTGTGACTGTTTGAAGATATAGCGTGTCCATTTCATCGTTAGGTTTTAAAATCTCGCGGATGTTTAAAACCATTTAGATCTCGGTCATCCAATGATCGGGAGAGTTGCTAATTGGATTGTCATGTTAATAAATGTCTAAATAATAATAATTTATATAACATTTGAAGCCGACAGAAAGACCCACAATAAGCAGATTTACTTCTTACATAATGTATCTAAATGTAAATAACAATGCTACTAACAATTGGTGACTGGATTTGTATCATATTAAACATATGCTCCGCTTGGGACTAGATACTAAATTTATTTCCTAAATCGACGATGTTAATCGAAATCATTAAGTATACTAAGTATTTATTCCAATTTAAAAGATTGAAAGGGTTTGTGTAGTCTCTCTTGGTATTACATATGTGAAACGAAGAAGAGAGGGGGGGGGATAAATGAGATTTAACGTCCACTCGACACAAACTAGGTCATTTCGGGACTAACATATGGTTTAATTTTATTTCAATAATTCGCTTGCGTGTAGGGGTCTTTAGCAGTGGGAGGAAACTGGAGGACCCGGAGAAAACCCACGAGATTGGACAGGCGACCCTACTCCTTGTCACGTACAACCGGGGATTCGAAACCACGCCGGTTGACTCAATGACAGGCCGTATGATACAGCACGCACATGCTAACCATTCGGCCATCCAACCCCCCGAAACGAAGAAGAACTGCATTACAAAATAGTATGGCGGCCATTCAGCTCAGAGAGTTGTTGTCGAAATAGAAATGAAATAGGGTTTAACGTCGGACTGTTCTGCTCCTATACTGGGCTAATGAAGACGGTTGTTTGTAAATGTTAATCAGTATATTATACTAGACACAATACCCGATATCACTCCTTGTTTGCGACATTGGCCTCGGCGGAATCGGACGTAAACCTATATTAGTGTTGATACCTAATATTTTTCCGAGAATGCGACAAAGCTGCAGAGATTAAAGGATGTCAGTTATTGAGGGTGAACTAAAGGGCCCAGTGTCTTTAACATTCTGAAGTACAAATCATTACTCAACTTCCACTCCCTCCCATAGGAAAAGCAATTTGCTGGGGCTCCTAACTTCTCAATACCTTTCAGCAATGCCAGTTTCGGGGTGTTACGCTGGAATTACATACTCGTTTATTTGAATGCCCTTTCATTTGGATGTGGTGTAGTGCATATTCAACTTAACCATAAACCGAAGCAAGGGTCTAGTCAGCATTTTGAGGGAATCTGCAGTGGCTAGATTCGGGAAGAACTATTATGTGGTCTAGGAAGCTCCTCAAATTGTGTGAACAGGATGCAAAACTTAAAAAAAATAGACGAATGTTTAAAGATGCATTTTGTAAGAGCTATATCTGCCAGTTTTTGCCTCAAATGTCATATAAATTAGTAATAAATCATTTAAATACATGACAAACTCATAATCAACTCTATAGATCATCGAATGGTAGTTACTTCTAATGCAATATACGTCCACATTCCGGGGGGTCGGGGCAAAATTTTAAGATGATCCATTAACAATTTTGGCCTATAGGGGGAGAGGGGTTCACTAGTCCGCCTCTATAAGAAATACTAGAAATATGGGTATCAATAATCCTAACCCTAATAGTAGATATCGGTGGACTAATGAACCCGTGGATTAGTGAACCCGCGGTCTAGTGAGTATTCCCCTGTAGGCGACCAACAGACAGACACACACACATAGACTGGGTCGACAGCAATATTACGTCCATATTATGAATGTGGACGTATAAAAATGGAAAGCCCGAGACACCAAATTATCTGGAACCTATAAATAGTCACCAAATTAAATACAGGGTCATACTGCAAATCATGGTAGATAAATACTTGCACTAACCTTTTTCAGTTGAAGTCTTTACAATCTGCTATCACTGGAAATTATTATAAGTCTTCGTGAACAAGCTTCATCATTCAATGGGTAAATAAATTTTGTACATTATATTTAAGACCCTACCTACAAGGAAGTCAGCTAACAAAAGACTCATTTGTACCGTGCGGTAAGGACGGCCAGCCCTCGATAAACTACTAGAAGGTTTTATTACTCAACAAATACCTTCTCGAAGTATGTAATAAAATCATAGGAACTCTGCTGCTTTTAATTGAGGTACAATGTTTAAACTTGATGTAGATGTTCATTGAATGAGTTCAGTGATTAACATTTCGAGCTGAAGTTAAGCAGAGCTAATCAATTTCATTGGTCGATGCTTTGGGACAAGATAACTTTAATTCTATCTGATAGAGAGTGATAAAAATTAGTGTATAGGTGATAATTTGTTTGATTGCTCGATACTTTTGAAAAAAATAAATGTGCGATTAATTAATATGTGTAATCTATTTATTTTGGGATTTCGGCGGGGGACATCAGCCTCACTTTTGGCTTGTTGAAATTAAGAGTGAATCCGGGAGACGACCAGGCAAAAATCGCAAAATGTGCTAAGATGGGGCGTCGGAAGTTTTTTGATCAACCTTATGGTATGACACCCCCTAGGGGCAAGAGGTGACATGCTGAAGTGGTTACAACCAGATGTCGCTAAAAAAAAATTAAAGAACTGTACTGGAAATAGTCATTTTATGCGTAAAGTTTAGGTTTTCACATGTGTATTTGTAAGGTACAGGGTAATTACGTTTATTAATTGATTCTGGAGTATATTCAAACTGCATAAATTTGTCCATCCATGATACATTTTAGTATGTGACCAAGGTGACGCAGGTTAGAATCCCCTTTGTGATGATTGATTTGTCGTATTCTTTGGTACATGTAATGAGAGTCTGGATGTTCCGGTATATAAACGTTAGTGTAACGATTAGTAAATCCAGCAATTTGATTGGCTAAATTATGCAGAAGGAAACACGAGTTTCGCCATACTCTTTTAAAAGAATAAATGCAACTAACAACTAACACTAACTAACTATAAACTTTTGCTGTTTTATTCACACTTCAGGTAATTAATAATAATAGTCATTATATAAATTGTACATCAATTTGAAGTTCAGGTAGTCAGGAATACAATGGTCATGTCATTTAATGATTGTTCTAGTCTATTTATGGTTATATTTGATGTTTTCCTCATATAAGAAATCATAGCACACATCAACAATTGAATAGGGCCCCGCGCATTGTCAATTGTCAGACCACCCCGCGCACTTTGGTGATATTCCAAGTGCAAGTGTTCATTTCCATTTCATGATAATAATTCTGTATAAACCTGTTATGTACATATGATATCTATAAGTTTATCATGAACGGTAGTTAAAGTCAGCTAGTTTGTCGTTATTCTGTCAAGAATAGCTATAGGATTTTAGTTGCTATTATTAACAAAAGGGACGTAACTCCGTTATTGGACCATTTAGTTAGGAATCAGACAACACAACTTTGTAGAATAATTTGTTATGGTTTTCACTATAGAACATAGGAGTAAGATGTATTCTGTATAATATCCATTGCGTAACAATAGCCAAGGCTATGAAATAGTATTTGTATTTTGTTATATGTTGTATTTTACATGTATGCAAAAGGAAACACGAGTTTCGCCATACTCTTTTAAAAGAATAAATGCCTTATAAACTTTTGCTGTTTTATTCACACTTCAGGTCTGGCCTTAAAAGACTAATTGAGAGTTAAGAGTGCTACATATTTATCACCCTTTTTAAGGACAGGTTGCATTCTATGGTGCAATAGCAACCTTCTAATTTTGACCCTGTCTGATAAAGCGGGTGGTCAATTTCCACCCCAGCACCTTTTTGAAAAACAAAATCAGTCCATACTAATTTTTTGTGAACTTGTTTTAGGGTACCATATTCACATAAGGCTTCAATTACAGATTTTGACCAAATTTGGTTTATAAGTTGGGATAGTCCCAAAACACATAAATTTTAATGTGCAATATCAGATAAATCTTTGAATTCCTGACTAAGAAAATTGAAAAAACATTTTTCATATGGTAAAATTGCAAAAATCCGTCTTTCTCAAATACCAACTTTGGCAAGTCCTCACCCCTTTACTATATGTAGCAAAAAGACCAAACTAACACAGTTTGTAGATGACCTGGAGGTGGGGATGTTGTCGGTAAAGGCACCATTTACAAGAACCTTGCTGTTTATATTTCTGTATAAGAAATTTAGCCTAGAATAAACTTAAATGATAATAAATTATCTTGAATTGTCTTAGTGTCCCCAGTTCCAGTCTGAGTAGGGTATATCATTTTATCGAGAAGTGGTTTAATTCTATTAGTGAGAACTTTAGTAATTAGTTTGTAATCCATACACAAAAAACTTATTGGTCTGTAGTATTTAAGTTCCGCATGACTCCCTTTATTTTTGTATGATATGGTAATGATTGCCGATTTCTGAGAATTAGCAAGTGTCTATTGTAGGTACACATTGTTTAGAATTTCTGACAAGTCATTTCAGTTATATCTTTTTTAATTTTATCTATTTCGAGATTGTTTACCAGTGTTATGTTCTCTAAATTTTCCAGAGTCTTGTATAAAGACTGCAATTTTTCTCTTTGTTTTCTTTTGCTGTTGTTGTCGAGTGTAGTATTGAAATTTCCTTAGTCCTTTGTTTTCCTTCTTCCTTCAAGATAATACAATATAACAAAATTTGAAGGAACATATACTCTTCAAAAATAAGTAGGGGATATTCAGAAACAATACAAAACAGCGGGAATGCACTGCTGTTTTTATTAGAGGTAACCAGTGTATGTTAATAACAGGCCTACACATGAACAGACATTCAGCAATTCGCCGTGTCATGCTCCTAATCAACCGTCCAATCACGATTTGGGGCAATCTGACCGACTCCGCTTGCAGTGTTGTCGGTTGACGTCGACGAACACGTCTCCCGATCATGTCCATGGACATGCTCTACGGGGGAAAGGTCAGGACTCATGGCTGGCCAAGGCATATGGACAATATGGTGACGCTGGAGGTGGTCATTCACTACAAGAGCGCGGTGGGCACGGACATTATCATCTTGAAAGATGAAACGTCGATATGCACGTTGAGCAAAGGGCAGAACTATCGATGCCAGGATGTGGTCACGGTAGTAGACACCAGTGACCCTTCCTTGAACAATATGCAAGTCCGTTCTGCCAGTCATGGTGATTCCTCCCCACACCAGAATCTGTCATGCTGTCAGCGTTAACATGACGCTCATTTACACGCCTCCTAACGCGAGCACGCCTATCGGTGAAATCCAGAGTATATCTGGACTCATCTGAGAACATTACATGCGCCCATCGACGATTACCCCAATTTCTTGGGATCACGTGGGTAAGACGCTGGCTCGCTAGCCTGACGGTCGGGTGTTTGATCCCTGCATTGGCCGAGAAAGTTTATCCTTTGTCAGTGATGCAGGACGGAGGGCCTGACGTGTACAGCTGATTAGTCGTTCGGATGGGACGGAAACCCGAGGTCCTGTGTACACATTGGCGTGCACGTAAAAGATCCCTTGACAGTTGGAATTCGATATAATAGTAGGCCGTAGTGCCACTGTCCGGGCAAAATTTCCCTCATAGCACACTGTATGGCGTATGCCCGTCTTCATTAGCCCAGTTCGGACTAGAACAGTAGGACGTTAAACCACATTTCATTTCACCCAATTTCTACGATGCCTACACCAGTGAAGCCTGTTTGCCATGTGCTGGCGAGTTAATGGAGGCACAACACGCGGTCGTCGCGCATACAAATGGGCTGCATGTAGCCGATTTCTAATCGTTTGGGTGTAACTTGAATTCCTGTAACTTGGTAAAAGTTTACAGAAAGCTGATTGACTGTTTGTCATCGTTTTCTGGCCGTTTGTCATCGTTTTCGCAGGACCTGTGTGCGAATGTGTGGATCCTGGGCTTGTGTAGTGGCTCTAGGACGATCTGAACGAGGTCTATCGTCAACATCATCAACATTGTGTGTTTGTTGGTACCGGTTCCACAGTCTGCTGATCACAGACTTTGACACGTTAAGCATGTTGACTACTGCTCGCTGTGTAGAACCCATTTGAAGCATGCCAATAGCACGTAGATGTTCATCATGTTGAGGACGTCTCATTGCAAACATGGATAGGATAAACCAACACGCGGCAGTTTTTATCAACTCTTCCGTGAAGTGTCAAATTTGACAATGGACCCCTCCCACGTGTATGGCGCTATTGCGTGTAGCACGTGCAGCTCAGTGGTTCTGTTGGGGCGACAATTTCTTCATCTGTGAACATACTCTCAAAGCATGTCAAGTGTCCATGACTATTTATCATATCACAACTTGCATAGGTATTTGCATTCCAATATCCCCTCCTTTTTTTTGAAGGGTATATATAGACAAAATTACAATAACAAGGTTTAAATCATTCATGGCAACAACAAGATCAAAGGCCTGTGACACAATGGGGTTATGATGTACAAAAACAAGATAAAAGGGACTAATTAACTTTTTAAAAGCCACTGAGTAGTGGTGATGTGAACATAATCTTAAGTATTGGTGATAGGGATTATTGGTGTTTACACTATAATATATACACATATACATACTTTTAAAAACAAAAAATGCACAACTGATTAAGGATAGGGGATAATGTATTGATAAAACCAGATAATAATTACAGTATTTAATAACAGAGTGATTCCAAAGGTTTGGGAGGGTATAGGCATCTGTTTGCACTGCACACCATATTAAATTAATGGACTAAAAACTAATGGAGAGTATACAACAATTAATAAATAAAAATGACAAAGTAATATCACAAGTGTGTAGTAATTAAGAATAAAGTTTTAAATATTTTTGATTTAATTATTTCATCGTACGCGCTCGACAAAAATGTCCCCATGTCGCGGTTAAGATCTTGGCACCGCACAAGCAGGGCAGATCATGCACCGAAGTCAATATTTACCGTCCATAGGTTACAAGGAATAAGTATACCAAGTTCCAAGATAATCGATTCAGAATTGTGGCATTCAGGCGCTTAGCACAATAAAATGAG